CAAAAATTTCGGATCTTTTCGTTACTTTTAGGCCCCGATAAACGTCGATTCGATTTATATTTCACCGACGTTTCGCGAAGAAGCGGGACATCGCGACCATCGGATGGACCGAATCGTCGTGAAATATTGCCGCTTCGTCGCGAGCTTCAAAATATCCGCGGAACAGGAATACGTGTCTTTGTCTCGGGAACGCGTATTTGAAAATTCTACGATTCTATTACCTAATTGCGCGCAACTTCCGTCGAGACTAATTGAAAGGTCCGTGGTTGCAATGCGGCTGTGCGCTTGCAAATATTGCTGGCTTCCTTCCACCGAACTATTTCGTAATTGAAATTTGGGTCGCGTCGAATTAAACTTCAAAACACGATTCCTGCATTCCATAATTACGCAACGTGTACACTGTACGCGCTACGCGCTACCTACACGCGCGGCGGTCATTCAGTTTTTCGGTTGGATTCGCGCGCACCTAATTTCGTGCGAAATGCTGGAGCGTCGATCAGCGATTAGGTATATGCGATGCGACGCGGTGTTGTAGCGTGGCGATGTTCGCGAATCGATCGCCGCGATATTTCAGCTGCTTCGACGAGTTTAATTACGAAATGGATCCAAACAATGCGTTATCGAACGCTGATATTATAATAAAGAAGGAACGCGCGCGGATGCGAACGAATTTGGGAACGTTGTGCACCGATGCAAATTGTACATGCTACGAATTCTTCCAACGCGTACACACCTACGAGTTCGTCGTCTGTGCAAACGCATTTGCCGAATCGCGTAATCGACGAAAGTAATTAGAGCGAGCGTTCGAATTCCGCCGTACCTTCGGCAACAAAGAATTCTCCGCGCGGTGTTCGAATAAATTCGAACGCGTACGGCTCGCACGGAATAAGTAGTTTCGCAGGTTTCTACGATTTCTGTTCCTGTAACAAGATTCGAAGTAGCATCGCGACAGACGAAACTTGATAATTTGCGAACGCTATTTTTAGTGATACGATAGGACAATGAAGCGGTCTAACTAGTTTCATGTAACACGGAAACGGTGTAAGCGAACAGTTTATAGAAAAATATTCTCCGCGACGGGTTGTCTATAGACGATGAAACTTAAATGGCTGTTCAAGGTCGCTTAACTATCTACGCTAATCAAAACTTACTTTCGTATATAGGTAGACACCGAACACGTACGGTATCGTTTGCGCAACGGAACGTAAATATTTCAAGGCTCGCTATTAAAAATGTGAAATTATGTCTTTATCGTTCCAGCGTGTACCGTAATTTCTTTCGAACGTCGATAGACGACCTTTGTTTAATTTTGTAAAAATACGCGAAACGATACCGCGACAAATTACGATGAAACGCAAGGGTGAAAAAATATTTTTTTCAAAATCGACAATTTCGATCCAAGATGTTGCCATTTTGTATATTGCAAATAATCGAGACTGCTACGTTATCGCGGTTGGTTCGTACCGTAGCCAGGCTCGAACCAAATAACAAAATTCCTCGTTTTTTTATTCGGACGAGCAACGAGACCGTGACATCGCGTCAACGGTGGTGCGCGCAATTTTTGAAAAAATACTCTCGATAGTTTCTCGATTCAAAAATATTCATCGTGTACTTTAAATACCCATAAATGTCTAATGCGGACAGTTCTTTCGAAAAGAATTCCCACGGATTGCTCGGAGAATGACGTTCGAAAGCAGAACATGCTTTATATAAATATCCACCGCTGCGTAGCCGCTGCGGTGGATATTTCGAAAGGTGGCCTTTCCGGAATGAGAAACAATGGAAATGGGCAGCGCAAAGCGTGTACGTATAATGTATCTGTTAGGAACTGTGAGAAGATAAATTAGTAGGGCAAGACGGCGAGGCGGAGAAGCCTGGGAGAAGAGCACGGTTGCGAGCTACCCGAGCCCGACCCAGTTGTTAACACGCTCATTCGATATTCGTAGTTATTTAGTCGCATTTCCGTCTATTCGGCTGCAAAGCCCACCGTTTAGCAAAATCTATGCGCCACGATATCTCGGTAGTACTCGGTACAGCAAACTCTCCCTAATCGGCTTTCAGCTTGGAAACAAAAATGGACAATCTCGGAAGAGGAGATGTACGATCGTTCGAGCCTCGCGGCTCGTTTTTACAGTCGATTCGCGCGTTGGCGCCGCTTTGAAAATAACAACGGCTCGAGCGTCGATTCTCGGCGGACAAGGAAAAATTTGATGTCGCGGAGGCTCCGCGGAGGTTCTCGGTTACCAAGAGCAATTAAAAATCTCACCGACGCGAGACCGGCTCGCGCGAGACACGTCGGAAGAGAGTCGCGCGGTCGGTGACACGCAACGAACGTAGGACGGAAACAAAGATTTCTTCGTGGTGGTATACGCGGATTCGAACCGACGATAATGCCGTCGTTGTTTCCATGCTCGGCATCCCCTTTGGACAAGCTATCCCTTGGTTGTCGGAGACCGTTTTCAAACGTGCAAATCCACGCGGATCGAGAACGAACGAAATTAAATAATTACCAGCTTGGGAATCAACGTTCGAAAATCTTCGCCTACCCCGGCGCTTCGCTCGATTTCGATTACGCCGCGACTCCATTACGTACGATTCCATCGTACGCGAATACAATGAAATTACAAAATTCCTGGAATGCTGCGAACAATATGATAAACCTTCGTATCGAATTAGCATCGAATTAAATATCGTCGATGCAACGTGTCCAATGAAACACTGGGAACGCTACGGAATGCAAGGGATTGATGCAAAGGTGCACCGTTGCACGTTGTTGCCACCGGCGTGGCGCGGCGAAATAACGTATCGCGGAACACGAGATCTCGGTTTATTCGAATCGAACTAATTTCGTTAACGTCCGTGTCATCGTTTAATGCTGCTGTTCGTCTAAAAAAAATATCGCGTTACCGAGAGAATTTCGGTGGAATTCGACGATCCCGCGTTCCTCGATTAAAAGCGATATCGAACGCGCGATCGACGGCGGTTTGTTTTCGAAGAACGCGAAGTCTGCTCCCCAGGCTCGTGTCCGTCGTTCGGTCTTATCGACTCCAGATTATCCGGCATTCGTTTTACTCGTCCGCCGGACTCGCTCTAGTTTCTATTTCTCGTTTCTGTATGCTCGACGATTGATCGGCAACCGGAAACTATAGAATATGAAATTAACGCTCGCGAACGGAACAACCGGAATACGTGGATTATTGCTTTTCGAGGATACGCGTTGCTGTTCGGTATGTTATTGGTAAATACAGTAGCTTTCCGAACTACGGCTATTTAACCAGCAGCCAATGGCCGTACGAGTTCTCCCCGGAGGCCGGCTGTTTGCATTCTTGTCGAGATAGCATACGCTATATTATACTATACTATACTATACTACGCGTATACGGTCCGCGCTCGTCCGTCAACGAACGTTGGAGAGAGACATTTCTAATTGCTATTTATTCGCTGGCTAATGATACGCTTTTAAACGACAGATACGTTGTTTATCCTCGATAGTTATGTAAAAGCGTATCTTTTTCATTAACGTATTCGTTTTCCACTCCGAATTCATCCTTTTACAAGTCGTGCTCGCTTCTTTTTCGCTCGGAGTCATTTCGAATCGACGATTGCACGGGGAGCTCGGAGTACGATTCCGAATCGCGACGACAATACGGTTTTCACGTTTCGCGACGATGACCTTTTTCGACCAATTTGTACGCAGAGGATCCGGAACGGTGTAAAAAGACCAAAGAAGAGAATCGAAATTCCTGAAATATTTACCAAAAAGTTCGAACGCTTTCGTCGTTCCGTATTTGGGACATCGAACGACGAAAAGAATACGGTATTCCCGCGTCGACGGATCAAAATCGACGAGGTTAAAAGTTGAAAAGCTCGAAAGCTACGTTTGTTAGATAATATCCTTCCTAAGCAATTGCTCATCGGTGGTGTTGTAAATTTTAAACCAGGTCGAGTGTCGTTAACTGATGGAGAAACGAGTGGATGTCCCAGTAGCGCAGCTACGCGAGACAATGCGGTTATCGAATCGCTGGTCCACAGAAAATTACGAACGATTGATATCGTAATTAGGAATATCGTCTTTATTGTAAACGGACGAGAACAAACTTTCCGTCGACCCGTGCTACCCCACCATCCGGAGAAACAACGATGCGTGACGTACGCGAACCTCGAAGTTGGATCCTTCGGTGTGAAAAATATACAATTTTTATTTCAAGTTTGTCGGAAATTTCGGGTCGAAGCGGACCCAAACGACACCGTTCGAGAGAGCCAACGCGTAAATAGTCGATACAATTCGAACCGTAACGTATCTAAGATCGTTTGTAAATACATAATACGTATATTTAGAACGTCGAGAATGCATACACGTAACTGGGATAGGTACGGATGCTCGCACTCTCGATACGTTAACACGTTGACCGATACGCGTTTCATCGTCTCTGCTATTCCTCCCGTGATTCCGCCTATCCAAACAGCTCGGTCTTCCGAACCCAGTCTTGCCCCCGGAAGTTCGAAGAAACGAGGCTCCGCCGTAATTGTTCGACGCTGGAACGACCGAGCGCTAAAAGAGTGCCCCTCGCACAACCTCGCGAATACGACGAGATCGCATCGAACCCTTCGCGATCGAGCGACGATTTCGGAGGCGCCGCTCAACAAATTCTTGTATCTCGTTGCAAAATGATTCGAGCGTTTAAAAAATTCGTTCGGAATTTGTTCGGAAAACGAAAATGTTCGAAGTCGTGGAAAACGGAAGTACGCGCCGACAGCGCGTACCGATACATGTTTCGTGCTTCGAATAAAAATAGCTTCGAGTGCAAGGGGTTGATATCCAATGAGACGATCTTTCGAGAGAATAATCCGAAAATAGAAATGTCAGGGTCGAGCCGACGTCGCGTCGACGGGCCCGGTAGTTCCAGCGTTCGAAATATCGTTTCTACCGAAAGCAGCGGCGCGGGTTGCGTCGCGAAAGCCCCAGGTGCGGCGCGTGTCGCTGCATAAAATGATCTCACCTGCTGCGTTTCGACAGCCTCTTTAACGTGTTCCGCTATTTCCGCCGCCTTCAGGCCGGTTTCTATCGGCGCGACCTGCGAGTGCCGTCGCGGTTGGACCTCGGCGGTGGCAGGCAGCTCCTGGTAGCAGGATTCTCCGGATCCCCGTCTGCTACCCGCGATGCACATGGCTCTCCGGAAGAGTCCGGCGACGACGGCGCACAGGCCGCATTGCATTCCCGTGGCGCTGCCTCGGCTGGACAAGGATCCACCGTTGGTCCGTCGACGGGTCCGAGTCCCGCGAGAGCCGCTCTCACGTGTTTGAGACGCCAGTTTTTTTTTCAAACCGTCCCCACTGCACCCTCTCTCTTTCTCTTCGTCTCTCTCTCTCTCTCTCTCTTCCTCTTCCTCTCGCTCTTGCTCTTGCTCCGACTCGGCCTGCGTCGACGCTTCCGGCAACAGTCACGATCGGCAGAGCCGCTCCTCTCACCAGAACGTGTCCCGACGATCTTTCACTTCCTCGTGTTCCTCCTCCATCGTTCCGACACCGTGTATATCCTCCCCGAGATCGCCACCTCGCAATACCCTCGCGCCCCTGGCCGATCGATTCCCTCGCGATTCAGGGCAGCGTCGCGTCATATCACCTGCACGACCAAGGTATGTCGAAAAGAGGACCAAAGATTTCGCAAGCTCGAGAGAGGAGGAGCTTCGCTCGCCCTCTCTCTCTCTCTCTCTCTCTTTCTCTCTCTCTCTCTCTCTATTTCTCTCTATCTATCCGTCTATCTCGCTCGCTCGCTCTCCGTCTCTCTCTTTCTCCGGGAACAACTATCGATTGGCGCAAAGTTACGTCCGATAGCGTCTAACGACGTCGACGGTGCACCGTGGTCAGGAGTCGGGACGGGACACAAGGAGAGAACGCCGGATGAGGAACCCTCGTGTAGACGTGCACGCGAGTATGCGTGGAAGTTCGCACGAACGATGCTGTTACCGTGGTTCATCGGGTGCGTTCGATCGTCGGGTAATTTCGATTCGCCGCGATTCGGCGCGACCCGTCGCGCAACACGCGCGCTACGCTCCTCGCGAGTCGCGAGCACGACCGTGACGTCGCGGCGTTTCGAACGTTTCGAGGAGATCGTAACTGAAAATTCTATCGGACGTTGCTAGGAATAACGAGGAACGATCGCGATGTTCACCTGTTGGTATGCCGAAGAACGATCGATAGAATCGCCCTGTGGAATTAGGTTAACCGTTCGCGTCGACAATGGCACGTGTTTCACGCGGTAAGAACGGTCTCGAGTCCTAACCCCCAACGAGCGTCGCGTTCGGCTCGATTCTCGCAGCGAGAACGTCCGCGCGTCCACTGTGCACTCGTTAATCGCCGTCGGTTTTAATCGGTTGTTGCGTCCGTCGATCTTCTTCCCATTCTTTCCATCGCCTTCGCCGACAACAAGAGACATTCGATGCGTCGAGTAAACACAACGCGATCCTCCCCTAACCAACCCGCCCCTGGCGATAAGATAGAACGCGGCGGGTCTACGAAAAGGAATAAAAATGAGCAAGAACAAAAGCCACTTCTCTCCCCGGTCCGGTTGCGACCTCGATTTTTCCAGCGAGACTGTTTTCAGCTTACCGAGCAGCAATTACAACCGCGTGGCCAAGAGCCCACTTCGGAGAGCATGTACGCGACGAACAAGAAAACGAGAGGGAGAGGGAGACCGAGAGAGAGGGAGAGGGAGAAAGAGAGAGAGAGAGAGAGAGAGAGAGAAAGGCGGAAAGAAAAGAGGACCAGGCTCCGTGCGCTCGTTTCAGCACGTTGCGCCGATAACGTCGCCTCGATCTCGCTCTCGCTGGTCTAGCGTACAATTACGCGTCCCATGGAACGAAGAGAGAAGAAGCGCGTCGGCTGTTATCGTTTGAAACGCGGAAGACCTCTTCCGCGTGTCCGACTGGGTGTTCCACTGGCTCGTCCGTTGACAGCGAAAGCTTAACGGCGCGGAGTCGAGAGACGACGAACGGGGGGCGACGGCGACCGATGCGTCGGCTCGAACGCGATCGTTTTCTCTTCGTCGAATCGCATCGGTGGAGAGAAGGTCGGATTCGCGAGAAAAACGCGACGAGAATTCGAGAGAAGAGAGACGGACGAGAGAGCGGAGAGAAAGACCGTCGAATCGAATCGACCCGAGGTGGTAGGTCCGAGAGAGAGAGAGAGAGAGAGAGAGAGAGAGAGAGAGACTCGAGAGCGAACGAAGGGAGAGACTGATCGCGGGAGGCGGCGATGCGAGCACGATACCTCGTTCAAAATGCACAAGGCCTGGCAGTTGTCGCACGAGAATGTCTAACTAGTACGCGAGAACGACGGGGTAACGCCCGCGCACAGATATCGTAGCTGGCGCCGCACCGGGACGAGCCTAGGAGCTCCATGACCGCGTGTTGTGGAAACGGGAACGGGTACGGGTACGGGAACGGACGGCCCCCGGGTCCCGAGGCCCGGTGCCCGGCGCCAAAGAGGCCACGAGCACGAGGGGGCCCTTCGGCGGCGGCTCCTCCTTCGCGCACGTTTCTCTCGAGGAAAGAGTACCACCGCGGAAAGAAAAAGTCTCTCTCTTTCTTTCTCGAAAGCCGAAACTCGAAGCCGGAAAGCGCGACACCGTTATCACCGACTATGCACGCCGGCCGGCCGCTGTGCATGCACTGAACACCGAAGCACTAGATTCGAGACTCGAGACTCGGCCGACGATCGAGCTCGGCCGCCGTCGACTCTCTCCGCCGGCGCTCGGTCCTGTTCGTTACCTGGCCACGTTTCCCTCCCCGGTCTCGGACTACCCGAACTCCGAACTCCGAATCCGAATCCGAACCGAACCGAACCGAACCGAACCATCTACAACTACGACGAGAGCGATTCTCACTACGCGTCGAGCTCTCGTCGCGAATAGCTGTACCGACCGCCGCCATCGCTTCGCGTTCCCTCGGTACCCTCTCTATCTCTCTCTCCTAGAAAGAGGGAGAGAGGGAACACGTACGCGAGGAGAGGAGATCAATAACGGATCCCTCCCTCTTTTGGTCGCGCGTACGCGCGTATCCACTGCCGCGGCACGGCTCGGCTCGGCTGGCTCGGCTCGGCTTGGCTCGGCTCGGCTTGGCTCGGCTCGGCTTGGCTCGGCTCGACGCGGCACGGCTCGGCGTCGCGTAGTCGTCGTCGACCACGCATTTACAGACGCGCGTCTTGCGAGCGCCGTGCCAGGCTCGCTCTTCCAGGACCATGCTACTCGTCCGCTCGGAGATCGGAGAGGACGACTCTGTTCGAGGCTCGAAGAATACGGCCGCGGAAAATTTCGCGGTCGTAAGATGCTTGTAAAAGATGGCCTCGTTTATCGATCCCTTACGGATTTCATTGGAAAGCCGCTTCCGGAGGTGTACCGGGGGTTGGAGAGGCGACAGGGAGGGGGAGTTGCTTCGAATCTTATTGCGGTTTTAACCCGGGAAGGTGGGCTCGTGCATCGGCCCGTGCCATTTTATTTCCAGTCGGTGCCTTGCGCGGGGATATTCATTTTTCTTAGAGGAAATTACATTTTCCTTTCGGATGTATGAAATCTTCGTCGTCGATCCGACTCGTTGTTACAGTGGAAAGAGTCAACGCGTGGTTACATTTTAACTACCATCGACGCGTTAACGCTTTCGAAGATGAAACCTATCGAGTCTAACTTGTGGAACGAACGGTTTCGCGCTCTTTTTGTTTCAACATCGTTGAAATTTTAAGACCCCCTTCGTCGTGTACGATCGAATAGATTTCCGAAGCACTCGATCGCGCGGTACCTTGGAACGACCTCGGAAATGCTACCTTAATCACGCGACACATTGTTCCACTCCCGATTCCCGACTCGCGACTCCCGATAATAATCTCGTTAACTCTCCTTATCGAGTGGTCTGTCCGAGAGGTCTAAGCAACCAGAACTAACTACGTGCTCTAAACTTCTGAAACCGATCAACTATTTGACGGGTTATGAGCATGGTTGGAAGAATGGGGTTACTCACTGTACCTGTAGCGATATTTCCAGCCATGTTGTCTGCAACAAAAACGAAACGAATTCGATTAGAATCGAGAAACGATACGAACTCGTACACATGGTGGTGTTCTAATCTGAAACGCGACAGTCTAATTTCACATCGGATACGGCGATTCGAGTTAAGGGAAAGAAACGACCGCGAATTCGGTATCGCTAGACGAGCGTGATTCGAAGGACCATCTCCGAAACGAAGGAACATTACACGGTAGCTTAGCCGCGCAAAGCGAATCATGTTCGAGCCGGTGAATCTCGTTCGAGAGCGTCTCGTCCTCTTTTGTTGCCGAAGAATCAATGCGTAAGTGAACACATTATTCGCTAACCTTATTTAGATAACTACCATACTGACAGAAATAGCACAGCGTTCGCCAGTGCGCGGGTTGCCGGCCGCTCTTTATCGAGTCGTAAAGTTATCGAAATCGAACGCGAGTCAAAGTCTACGTTGCCCTATTCGGTTGCCTTCGAACCGATCGGAGCAATTCGTTCGTCTCGAAGTAGTCAGCGACGCGATCCGCGAGCCATTTCTCACGGTGTAAACCACGCGCGGAGGAAGTACCTGATCTGTCAACGAAATTCGGAATTCGTCGGTGTTCGTTCACCGATCGAAAGAACTCCGTTGACAGCCGCGTAGCTCGTTGAACAAAAATTCTGAACAGCTCGCGAGCCGGAGCCAACGCGTGCCGTTTATCAATTTTTAGACAAAAGACGATACCAAAAGTCTCGGGACAAAATGCGCGCGGATAAGCGAGGAGAAGTTGCGTTTTTCGCCGTTGCAGATACAAAGTTGGTCGGTGTCGAACGTTAAACGATAATTTCGAGCTTCCGGTGAAACCGAAGCACAGGATTCGATTCGTTGCAGCCGGAAACAAATATTATGATACGCGTTTCGATGTCAAATACCTAATAGCGAATACACGAATCCGACAACGTCGGTGGCTCGATCGGATTTGTTTTATGAGAACGCACGTGCGCTGGGATTTATGTTATATTCGCACCGCGCAATACGCCGCGCTGGGAAATTTTTATCGACGCGTACAGCTGGTCTCGAAATTTATCGCGAGCGTTAAAAACGCGCGAGTGAAAAATCCACGGACGTTCTCGTTGTCGGGTGCCTGACCGAGCTGGCGAATAAAAATATTTCGTGTATGCTCGCGGACACGAGACGCGACGCATCGTTCGAACGTAAACGAAAGTAATTGTTGCACACTTTCCATTTTACATCGGATTCGACCAAAGTCTGGGTAAACTCGACCAAGGTGTTTAGGACTCGACGAGAAACGATTATTCGAGCGTATTTATTGGGAAACCGAGCTATCGATACCTAACAAGAATTTAAACGAGAGAGACATCGACGAGAGACGTTTTCAACGTCGCAGAATAATTCGCTCGAAAGATTCGTCGGAGCCTCCGCGCGATATCGATCATTTATTTGCTTAGGATTGCGCGAAGTGGTCGCAGACATTCGTAGTTTGCATTCGATACCAAACGGACCGATTCTCGTCCGATGCATTTAATTGCTTCGATAAAGCTTGCTCGATCACGTATCGTCGCTCGAAAGTATCGCTAATATTGAAACGGTTTCTCGGCGGACGGCTCGCGCTGCTCGGAAATTAATAGAGTCGCGCGGACAGCGTGCGTCGCTGTCAACAGTTTTGGGGAGAAGTTGATGAACGAAAAACCGTGGAGTCGCCGGCAAATCCGAGGAGAATATCGTGAATGGATACGGCAAGGTGGCGATATGGGGCTGGTCCGCCATGTCCGGTCCGGGGACGCGAATGAACGGAGTACGGCGCGTTGCGACGGTGTGCCTAGAAATTGCGCGCGCACGGGGTACTCTACGCGGACGCGAGGCGAGGCGAGGCGAGGCGAAGCGAGGCGAAACGACACGAGGCGAGGCGAAGCGAAGCGACGCGACGGCTCCAGAAGCTGGGATGCCCGGGATTCATCGACTCTTACGAGCTCATTATACAGGGTTATGTACCCGACACGTACACCCGACTGATTTCATACTCTCCATGGTCTCGCGCCCCGGACCCCCGGCCCGCCCCATCCCGCTTTCTCGCATCGCGCACGGTGTATTTATGTTTATCGCGTAACGATTAAAGGGACACCCGCGATCACCTGCGCATGACGGGGAATATATTAGGGCGAGTCTTTTCAAAAGGTGGACAAACGCTGAGAAACCGAGGCGACCGGAGGACCACGAATCTCGAAACCTACCTCGAAGAAGTTCGGTTGGGCAAACCGAGACTAAAAAGTCTTCCGATTATTGCAAATCCTAGGAATATTTAGGCTGTTCGAATGTCCCGTAACAATGTCCGCGATCGCTTCTCGCGTGTTCGCAACATCGTAACTCGTTACACGCATTGTATACGTATACGTGGTCCGATCGAATAACACGTACAAGCGGGTAAATGGTAATACCCGATGAAAAAATAAGAAGAAAAAAAGTAGAATACGATTGTTTCCGAGAGAAACTAGTCGAAAAAGCCGGCAGGTTCGCGCGTCTCTCGTGCACGGCACGAAGTAGAATCGGTAGGCCATGATCAGACGCGCCGGTCGATTCCTATTAAACGGTACGGTACGACTTTTAACTCATTTTTCTCGAAAACGTCGCTTCGAACGACAAATTTTATTCGACGTTCGTTCCTTATTTTTTCACCGGATACGCGCTGCATACGCTCGCGCATGCTACGCTTTATCGTTTTATACGAAGTACAACGTGGCCGTGATCGGTCGCTTCTTGAAAAGTAATTTTTTACAAAAAAAGTGTAGCAGCTTCTTCCGGAGGTATTGTTATAGATACCTGTGATTTTTTTAAACCGATGCGCAGAATATCCGAGGTTCCGATCGCTCGAGCGACTTCGAATTTCGTCGAATACTTTCAGCGGAAGTGCAGTTATTTTGCGAACCGACGGGTTTTTAAAACCGGTTGATTTTTACATATTTTTTTAGCATGCTGTAAGGTAAAAAGGTCGAAGAAATCGATATCGAAACTTCAAAGTGCTGCCGTTCTTTTAATTATCGGGAGTTTGAATTTCCATGTATGCACCGCGTTTCGCGTACCGCTGAATCATGCACGCCGGAAAGCCGGTTCCTTTTTCAACGAATTTTCAGCCGAACGCATCTCGCGTAATTTTTAATGGTTCAGCATCGAATCGATGTTTCATAGATTTCGTTTGAAAATCGCTGCGAACGCGTTAATTCGAGAAACGTACGAATCCGTGATTCGCTTCGACGCCGGTGATACCGTGGGGTCGCGAAAAATCGTGTTATCTTCGTACGTTAAACTAGCCAGAATTTACCTACGACTTTTATTGAAAAGCTCTCCAGGCTTATTTTAACCAGTGTCGTACTTAACTCACGGTTAACCTTTTTCCACTTGACATTTTATCGAAGTTGTCTTTGACGCCCGTGCACTTGATTCCGTTTTTAATTAATCGAACAGTTATCGAACAGAATTCCGCTCAACCAGCTTACAATTAGGAGCATCGAAATAATCTTGGCCGCGACGTTGGACCGCCGATTTATGATTCTACGAGGGCTGAGAAAAATGTAACTGTATTCGGCTAAAAAATTTCTTGGATAATTCCATCGACGTTTGCGCGGATTCCGAATCGAAATGTTACGATTAATGCAATGACAACGACGCGAAGTATCCAGAACGTTGCAGTGATTTTTCGCGAACATTAAAC